CGCTGCTGCTGCTGGCGCAGGTGGGTGTGCAGGTGAGTCCCGTGTGCTCCCGCCACCAGCAGTCACCGGGCATCCCTGAAGGCGGGAGACGGGTCCCTCCTGAAGCTCCCCTCCCGCAGTCCCTGCAGTCTCACCGAGGTGTCGCCGCTGTTTTCCAGCAGGCACCTGCGTGCGCCGTGGGACCCGCAGCGACAGCGCCTGGGAGGCCGAGCGTCCCTCATCCTCCCCCTCTCGCGGAGCAGCCGGGCTGGGTGGAAAAGGGCGGTAAGTCCGCGAGGTGGGGGCTTCCAATCCTTGCAGTTTAGCAGCTCGTAACCCCCCTTAGGTGCTGCGAATGTTCACGACTCGGTGCAACTGTACTCTCGAGATGTCTCTGTTTTTTTCCGTGCCCTGTAAGGGAGCGCCGTGAGTGGACTTCCACCAATAGTGCTGTCGTGTGCCCTGGTGAAACAGTTATCACCATAGGAAAAGGCGAGGAAATACTTTCATTTTTCCAAAATTTAAGGAGCTTAGGAAGAATCTGGAGGTTGTGTTGACGGAGACATCTAAGCCATTGTAAGGGGCGTCCTACCCCGTTCCGCATCCCTTCTCCTACTCCTCTTTAAATTGGAAAAAAGACGGTAATTTTTCCTCAGTGTTTATCATCTTAGTATCAAAATTAATGCTCTTCAAGCACTGGGGCAAAATCGGAATATAATTGTCCATGAAGTGTCTGATTAGCATGTTGTGACATCATAAGCAACGTTCATGTCCTGGGCCATGACTTGGCATAAAAGCAGGTCTGGTCATTCTGCAGCGTATGGTTTTACTTGTGCTAAGTACAAGTGGCATTTGCAGATTTGACGTCTCATCAGCATAGATCTGTGTGTGTTCACGTTGCTTCAGGTAAATGAGAAAGCAGGTGTGTAACACTCGTTAGCAGGTGGTTTTTATCTGAACCCAACCCGGAGGCAATTACTAAGTATTAGTACTTTGCATCATTTCGAACAATAAACTGCCATCTCAAATGGTAACAGCATTGAACTTTAGAGGAAGAAATAGGTTTTGATTATCTCAATGTATTTTTGGAAAATTTTGACAAGTAAAGAGTCAATAATTTAGAATTCCTCAATATAGTTTCCTTATCTTGATGAAATAACATAAGGACAAGAATTTATTATATGCATTAACTGTTGAAATTCTCCCCTACTGAATGAATATGTGAAGTTTTATAAAGTGATGTTTCAGATTGATGCTGGACCATAGGATCGTTTTGAGGACCACTAGAGGGTGCTAGGTGCAAATGATATAAAATGTTTTTAAAGTAATTTTCTCTGTGTATTAATTATCTGTCTATTTAAAGCTCACTTTCTTGAGGTTGTCTTTGTCTCCTTTAATGTTTCTTTTACAAAGTATTGTACAATATAATAATCCATATTAGAAATTAATTGTCTACCTTTACCTTTTATTTTTAAAGAATTTTGTAAAAAAAGAAATCTAGTTTTCTAAAATTATGAAAATTCCACAGTGATTCAGGAGACTATTTGTGAAGTTTTATTTAAGATAGGAACACTAGAGACAGAGAACCATTCAGAAAGAAAAGCCAGAGCTTCTCGCCTGAGCGCGGGTCTCCCTTTACCTATCTGTCCCCCGTGAGCAGGCTGCTGACTGCTGCTGTAATCACCTGCGCCTCCACTGGTATCACAAGCACAGCGTTTCCATAGCAACCACTTACCTGGGTTGGTCAGAACCTGAAGGGGCATGTGTGAGCCATCATCAGTGAACACCCTCCATGTGCTTTAGTGGGCATCAGTGGAAAGCTTTCACACTGCAGGGGAAAGACTGTCTTTGCTAGTGGTGTTACTGTTTCCATCTGGAATAGCAGAGCTGGAATCCACTTTGTGTGATGCTGGAGTCAACTCACTGTTGCATGTCTAGGTATCCCTTATACAAGTTGGTTTTGAAGTATCTGTTTTTGGCCATGAGTTTTGTTTAAAGTAACACATAATTCAAACGATTACTACATATGTTGCTGGGTGTATGAAGTAATTACGCAGTGGGCAAGAGAACCCCATATATTCTCTGAGGCAATAATAGATAACTAAATTAATTCAATTCTATTTCAGACATGAAGTCTGATGTGAAAGTTTCATTTTTGCTGATTTAGGATTGCTTTTCCTTATTTCTCAGTAAGAGACTGGAATGCTTTTTTCTACAAATTTACGTTTGTAATAAAAATAGTGGCTCCCGTTAAGACCAAAGATGTCTCACAGATGTGTTAACTTTTTAAATCCCAAAGTAAATTAAGCTCCCAGGGCAAGGTTTGGAAGTTCTTTAGAAGTTTGTTTCACTGGACATAATAGACATGTTTTTGTGTGTGTGTTGGAAGTGTTGAATGATTGACATTCAAACATTTACACAGCATGAGACAGGGCGGACTCTTGGGTTGTTCCAGTGGTGTGCTTGTAAATGTTCAATAACAGGACCTTGTGTGTGTGGTGGTGGTGGGGGGGGTGTTCTAGTTTGTAACATTTGCTGATTCTGGTGGTGGAAATAAATACTCCCACTATGGCTGATTTCAAGCTATCAGGGTGATGTCACTGAACACAATGTGCAAAATCAGCAGCCTGAAGCTGCCGTGAGCTGCTGCAGCACACTCATGGGGGCCCCACCTCATCCCATCATGCCTAAGCCCCAGGCTTCCTCCACTTGATGCTGTGGTCCAATCCTTCTTGAAATCAAGATGTTCAGGGTACTGAGTAGAGCAGCCATCTGTGAACTTTTTCCCATTAAAAAATCTATATAGGACCAAGGCCTTATTTAAAGGAGTCTCAAAGAACAGAAGTCTCACTTACATATAGATATAGATATATTTTAAATCAGGAACCAATAGTTTTGGAGATTATAATCTTAAAACACAAGCTTAAAATTAGTTTTAAGTTTTCAGCTTCTTGCATTTATACTGTGACTTCTCTCCAAATGGTAAGTGTGTGCCGAGATGATGCTTCTTTTGTCCCTTCATTGAATTCTTCAACTATGACCTTTTTCACAGTCAGCTACCCATAACTGAGGGTGCCTACTTGATACTAAGGACCACTCTTTTGACTACATTGGGATTTCTCAACCTTGGCAGTATTGACATTTTGCTGCAGGGGTGTGTCCTGTGCTCCGCAGAATGTTGTGGCTGCTCTGGATTCTACCCACTAGATTCCAGGAGCATAGTCCCCCCCTGCCTCTTTGCAACAACCAAAAACGTCTCCAGACATTGCCAGGTATCCCTGTGAGTAGGGAGAGGGGAACTCACCCCAGGTGAGAACCACTGGAAAAAATGGGAAGGTAGGTCTTTTTCCATCACACATGTTCCCCTCATTCTCAGGAAGGGTTTAGGATGGGCAGGATGCGTGCCTTTCCCGTGGTGTGCAGCTGTGGACCAGGGCCAGCGCACACCAGTTCTTGAGAGCTCAGTGTTCCCTCTTCTGGAATTCTGTGAGCTGCTTATGAAAAATTAAGCTATATAAACTTACAGTGAAATGAATCATATTAAAAACAAAATGAAAATACTCAAAACTCATCACTTTATAATTATTTGATTCTATTTCACTACTCTTATGCTCTTGAGATTATTTGCATTGATAGTACCTGTACAGTAGAAACACTACAGAAGAGACTGCAGTCTCTTCCAAACTCCACGTGCAGTGATGTCACTCAGGTCATTGAAATCAACCACCATGGAAGTATTTACACAAGGGAAATTGGCAAAAGCTATAAACCAAGTCATTTCTCTCCAGATAGCTGTCTGTCAGACATTTATCAGCACAACACTGTGTGTGTTTATTTAAAAGAGGCTTATCAGTAATTATTTTGCAAGCTAAATATTATGTCCTCCTGAAGTAAAGGATACACATTATCTGCCCTCCAAAATAAAGGTCATAAGACTATGGCTTATACCATCTGGGAATACTTTGATTTTTTTAAACAGTAATCAAATTTTTAGGTGCAATAAAATTTGCTTATTAACCACTGTTTGAAATAGTTCAACCTGCTTTCAACTCGCTGCCTCTGCTGAGTGGGGAGAGGCTCATGGCAAGATGGAGAGCACCCCCCTGAGGCTGCAAGGGAATGAGAGGCATTAATGTGACCAGGTCAGACTGGCCTTTTCGCTTAGTCCAGAAAGCCAGGGAGGGGAGTGGCTGAAGTCTCACCACAAGGGACGTGGTTGGGGAAAGGCAAACTAAGTCAAACAGTTGTGTAATTTTCACTTTTGTCCTACAAGTAGCCCAAAGGATATCTCAGAGTAAGTTTGGTGTCATGCTAAACTGTTATTTTCTGGTGACTAGAAAAAATACAGGGTAGGAAGCAGGCCCTCTCCTGACACATGCAGGCCCAGCACTCGATAGATTTGGAGGTACACATGCTATATGTTTATATATTTTAAATGTATAAACCAAGCTAACAAATCATTATCTGAATTTTTTTGTAAACCCAGCCTTAACAAAGCCACCTTCCCGTGGTCTAAACTCCAGGTCTGATTTGAGAAAGTGCCATGTAGCAGGATCTGACCCCTAGCGTGAAGCCCACTCCTTCCTTCAGGAGCCTGCTCAGAAACAGGCTTTTGTCTGAACTCTGGATAGCAGAGATGATATAGTTATTGGTTGTAAGGAGAGAACAAATCCTGGTTATGACCATGAAAAAAAAAATTAATTTTCTAGAAGAGGAGAAACCCCTTTAGAGAAGACAACTGTAATAATTACAGAAAGGCAACCAAGGGCCATTGCCTGGGATCTGGGGGAGCTTCAGATTTTCTTACTGTGCTTTGTACAGATGGGCAATGCTCCGGTGGGTGCTGGATACAATCCCAGAAGACTGAAGACTTGCAAACCTCCATGGTGCCCTGAAGTCTGATAGCTCCTTGGGGGTTACTTTCACTTTTCAAAAATAAATAATATATTTTAATTCATTTTAGACCCACATACTGTATATTATAGTGGGAAGAAGAATGTGGTACCCATTTTTAAAAGGCTATGGAGTGTGAAATCTAAGTCCCAAGAACCAAGGCCACTTGGAGGGTTAACAGGGATTTTGAGCCAGGACTAATACACACGTGAGCATTTCTAAATGTTCACATGTGGAGAGCCTGGAATACATGTATCTTCTGCTTATTCTCCTATACATTCAATGATTTAATAATTAAATGTTCAAAAATTAAACAGCAAATGGTACCTATCATATTTTTCTTTTTAAAGGTTTTCTGAAAAATTGTGGGTATTTTTAAAGTGAAATTTCTTAGTTGAATGAAGGTGTTTGTAAAAAGAAAATGGAAAGAATAGGATTAAAGGAGTGTTTTGGAGTTATAAAAATGATTATATGTGATAGTTACTCTACCAGTAAGATTTATGACATACATTCCTAAAAGTCTAGTTTGGGTTTTTTTCGGTCAGTAATCTGTTTTCCTCTTTCACTGTCATAGAATTTACTGGATTGTTAATACATTAATGGGGCAAAAATGACTTAACCAAAGGGCCCTCTTGAGATTTTCTCTTTCACCTGTGATGTCAGCTATTTGACATCTTGAATTTGAGAAATGGGCAGGTTGCATTTTCTTCCATCCTGTTTTACTGGGTACCAATGTCATCTGGTAAGATAGTCTTACATTGTAAGATTTCCTGATTCTTCTCAGAACCCTGAAGTTACTCAGACACTTCCCGCTCTTTGATTTCAGAATATGACCTGGTCTCAGCCTACGAGGTTGACCACAGGGGAGATTATGTGTCCCATGAGATCATGCACCATCAGCGGCGGCGAAGGGCGGTGGCCCAGCTAGCAGTTGATTCTCTTCACCTTTGGCTGAAGGGCTTCAGGCACAACTTCCAGATGGATTTGAAAGCTTCCAGCAACCTGGTGGCTCCTGGATTTATCGTGCAGACTTTGGGAAAGGGTGGTACTAAGTCCGTGCAGACTTTCTCTCCAGAGGACTTCTGTTTTTACCAAGGCTCCTTACGATACCACAGAAATTCCTCGGTGGCCCTTTCCACCTGCCAAGGTTTGGTGAGTACAGCTCGTGCTCCGGTAGTAAGTGAGGCATGCACAGTGATATCTGACAAGGGGAGGCACGACCAGGGATTTCCCTCGAAATCTTGTAGCTTGTTCTGGTACTGCAGCACAGATTAAGCAGGAGGAAAATTGCCAAGTGATACTTTCTGAAACAGGTTGTGTGTACACACCTGCCCTTTTGTTGCTGTTGTTGTTCTAGAATAATCGTGGAGGAGCAGATTGGTTTGAAATTGCACATAAGAACTTGTGGCCCGGTCTGAATACATTAACTTCTTAGGGAATGATTTAATTCTAACTTACTGGTCTGTTATGGAAACTGGAGAAATGCCTTCATGTTGAATGGAATAAGGGTATTAAATATATTCAATAGATTGGCCATGGTGATTCTTTATTCTTTGATTGGATGTTTAAATGAAGGTGTTTGTAAAAAGAAAAAGAAAAAGAAGAGAAAGAATATGACTAAAGGAATGTTTTGGATTTATAAAAATGATTACATGTGATAGTTATATCAGTAAAATTTATGAAATGTAATCCTAAAAGTCCAGTTTTGGTTTTATTTGGTCAGTAATGTTTTCCCTTTCAAGGATCACAGAATTTTCTGGAGTGTTAGTAACACATTATGGGGCAGCAGTGACTTCACTTCTGTCATTCTTATGATGGCAACTTGCTTATAAACTGGGCATTCATCCATGAAAGGGCATTGCTGGCCTTATCAGACTAATGAATTTGCTAGTCCATTTCCCACTTTCTGCTGACTTAGACCTTGCACATCCCTGAGATGCTTCAGGTGGTTCCTCCACCTTGCAGGGACCCTACAGTGAGGAGCATCTGGTCAAGCTGCGAATCTACATGCATCCCTCAGGACAACACAAGCTGAAATCTCAATGGCTTATCTTTAACTTTTCTTAAAATATTTCCATATTAAAAAATCTTAGAAGATCCTTATATTCTTGGCCACAAATTAATCATTCAGACATAGATGAGCAAAAAACAGCATAGATCGTAGAGTGGATATGCGTGGGCACAACACTTCAAGGTCTTGATGATGTTAAAGGTTTGGCAAGCAGGTTTTTGGACATTGACTGCATCTCTAGAAAATGTTTTCAGTCTGTCTTAAATTTCTTTCCCTCTTTGGAAAGAGGGAGTTCAGACCCTGTATCTCATAAGGATTTGGGGTGTGTATAAGAGTACGTATTGTATGCTAAAAGATCATTTATAACCAAGTCCATAAATACTACTTGTATGCAAATGTTAAATCCTGTAAAAATATTTTTTAAGTATTAGCATTCTGTTTCTTAGGGGAATTTGATATGAGTTGATCTCATTTCTACTTTCATTTGCAAAAGGCTTTTGGTTTGCAAATGGATACAGCAAGGAGTTGCCAGGGATCGGGTGGTGGTGATTTGGCTCTCTTGTTAAGCATGAAGACAATGTGGCTGATTTCTTCCACACTGTCCAAGAAAAATAGATCTTCCATAATTAATGGACTAGAACTCTTCACATCATGCACAAAATGAAGATATCTATTTGTTGGATTTCTTCCACAAAGGCTTAAACCAGAAATGGAAGCCATCTGTGTGGTAGAGAGGTGTGCCGTGCCCTTTGGAGTTCAGTGATTTTGAGTTTTTCTGTGGAGTTTGGGAAGATGCTTCTTGTTAACCCAGCAGGGAAGCAAGCTCACTGCTGCCCTGGGTCTCTGTAAGCCAGGGCTCACCCCTGGTGGCTGAGCCGTGGCCTGGAGTCAGTCCTGTGAATCTAGTTGGCTGGAAGCAGCTTGAGTTTTCTGGCTCTCTTTGAAGCTGATGGGAGTTAACACCTAAAGCTGTAAGTGTACAATTACAGGAAAGATAAAAATGTGAAAAAGAACAGGAAAAAAAAAGGCTCCTCTGGATAATAAACGCTGGAATCTGATATTGTGGTCACTGGAACAGACGGTTGTGTGCCTTCACCATTAATCTTCCAAATTCGTAACTTCCAGCATGACCAGTATTTTGTCTATAGATGGTCATTACAAACGAGACTTCAACTAGACTTGAGAATGTGGGGTTTAGGAGCATTCACCACAAGACAGGACAAATCCAAGGCATCTTAAAGCAGAAAAAGAAAGGATAAAAATGCCCCCTGTCTTTAGCCAGATGATGAAAGTATTGAATGGGCTCCTTCCATAGCTGCCGTGTGTGTCATTTCCCAGCCGATTGATGGCTATCCCATTCCTCATCTTTCAAATCTGTTAACATATGAAGAAAAATAGTGTGTTTTTTCCATTAGAGGATGGCTTCTTTCTGTGTAATTGTTGTCATTCTTGGCTCTTTCAGATTCTCATTGAAGCCCGGGGTGGATCCCTAAGCCTTTCTATAGGGCCTCCAGGTGGACCTGATTGACCCCGCTTTCCAATGGCAATTGGGAGTCAGTAGGGTTGTCTTCTTTGCACCCTGTTCTCACTCACACATCTTTGCATATTCCAGTGGGCAGCACTTTGAAAACAAAGTCCCTTCTTGTGGGAGATACTCTGTGTTCTAGTCTCCCTATTTAATCTTCAGTACGAGAATATCACTTTTAAGTTTAAAAATATATTGCTTAATTAAGAATATTGTATCTTATACTGTACACTTAAAGGAAATGATTTACAGTTGTAAGACAACGCAGTTTACAAACTGCTATATGGTTTTCTCACCGGGTTCTCAGATTTTGAGTTTGGGATCATTTTGCTGTACTTCTCTAACAACTGGTTTGAAGCACACAGTGAAAGTTGATACGAGGATACTGCAAAAAGTTCATGGAAACGTTCACACTATCTTTCTTTTTTATTTTTATTTATTTATTATTAGCACATTCATTATTACAAGTCATTTTTCTTTTTGTCCTTTACTGGACCTATCACTCCCCAAACCTTCTGCCTACCCCCCACTCCCCATCTCTAGTATCCTTAGGTTTGTTCTCTCCTTCTGAAACTTCAACGCATTCTTGTGGTCTTTTCTTTCTTTCTCTCCTTCCATCCTTCCTACCTCCTTCCCTCCCTCTTTCCTTCTTTTCCTTCCTTTCCTTTCTAGCCACCAGTTATGACTGAGAACATGCTGTATTTCTATTTCTTTGTCTGGCTTATTTCACTTAACATAATTTTCTCCAGACTCATCCAT